GGATAACCATATGAATGAGGACTGGGATGTAGTGTGGGAAGCAAAAAGAAGACATGAGGAACAGGCCATATAGGTCTGGCTAAATAGGTCTGCCCCTAGACTTTCCACTCTACCCCATACATCTGAGGAAGCAGGCTCTAGGAAGTCAGAGGAAAGTTTATGCTACCAGCTTATTTTGTTCAGTTAGTCTCAAAGGTGCTGCAAGATCCTTTTGCACACAACAATAAAATATATTGGGAGTGTGGCATAAGCTTTCTGGGACTACAGTTCATTGAATCAAAGGCTTTAGGCTCAGCAAGACAAACTTCTTCACCCCAGAGCCTGTTTTCAACCCTGCCACTTGGATGAGTCTAACAGCTAAAACCCGAGGCATTTGTTACTCCATTGCTAAAGTAACACAGAATATATAGATATATAGTAGGGGAAGAAGAAAAAGAAGAATTGCTCTAAGCCACTGCATTAGGTATGGGCCCAATGCAGAAGGAAAATGGTGTTGCTTGATTTTCTTTCCAAGTTGCTTCCCAAAACTCCCGATGTTTCCACTACTATGTATATTTTCTGTGTTACCTGAGCAAGTGACTAAAGCAGATAGCCCTGATGAGAAATCTGTACTTAGTACAAGAGGTTACTGTTAGAACAGAATATGAAGAAACAGAATATGGCAAAGCGGTCAGGCAAGGCTGCATTCTGTCACTTTACTTGTTCAACTTGTATGCAGAAAATTTCATACAAAGAGCAGATTTAGAATCGGAAGAAGGAGAAGTGAAGATAGTAGGAAGGCACATCAACCATCTAAGATATGTAGATGACACCATACTTCTAGTGGAAAACATAACCAACTTATAGAATTACTAAAGAAAGTCAAAGCAAGAAAGTTCAAAGGCAGGCTTAATGCTGAAAATTAAAAAACAAAAATAATGACCATGGAGAATCAACATAAATTTAACCTAGATAATGAGGAAATTGAAATAGTTAAAGATTTCCCATACTTTGGATTAAACATTGATCAGAATGGAGGCTGCAATCAAGAAATCAGAAGAAGACTAGGATTGGGAAGGACAACTATGAGAGAACTAGACAAGATCCTAATGAATAAAGATGTACAACTGAGCACTAAAATTAGAATAATCCAAGCCATTGTATTCCCCATCATCATGTATGAATGTGAGAGCTGGACAGTGAAGAAAATGGACAGGAAAAAAAATTCAATTCATTTCAGATGTGCTGGACAAGAATGCTGAGGATAGCATGGACAGCCAGAACAACAAGCAAATGGGTCCTTCAACACATCAGGCTGGGACTTTCCATGGAAAACAAGATGATGAAACTGAGACTATTGTATTTTGACCACATCATGAGAAGGCATGACTCATTAGAAAATACAATAATGCTAGGAAAGTTAGATGGTAGTAGAAAGAGAGGAAGACCCTATTGCAGATGGGTATGTCAGGGATGATGGGAGTTGTAGCTCTTCACCTCTGGCTCTA